TAATGAATAAAATCCACTTTCTTTTGGTCTCCGATGATTCTTCAATGGCGAGATATTCGAATCTCGCCATTTTTTTTTCCGCGTTCCGTTTCTTTAGTGAGTCACTGTAAATGAAATCAGATCAAGTTGATTGTCGATCAGGTACGGATACAATCCGATTTGTATCAGACAACTAATAACGGTATTTAAAATGAATTCTTTTTTTATTTCACGATTTTAGAACACGCATCAAATGGAAAGATATCTTTTTTGAATTTAATTTTTTCAATTTTTTAAAATATGTTGACGAAAGCTATTATTTTTTTAAAATAATTGCAACATGTTTTTTTGAATACGTGTTAAATGAAAATGGTTTTTTAATAGTATAATCATCAAGTGCAAACTAACATCATTTTTGTGCAGTAACTACCTAAAAAAAAGTGACCTCAATGGAATGTACGAGAAAACCTTTCTGAAAACCATCCGCAAAAAGTGTGTGTAAAGCAACTCGTTTAATCGAACCCGTTCAAATCAGGAAGTGGTGCCAACAAAATAATAATTAATGGAATATACGACTAGAAATAAAGTAATTTAGATCAATGGTTAGAAGATTGCGTCAAGAATTGAAAGTTGTAACACAATCAATGATACAAATGAAGCAAAAACTCTTGCACGAACTGAACAAATAATTCATGTTGTGGGAATTCGCTGCTTTCGAACTGAAATGATCTAAACTTCCATAATAGATTTTAGATATAGTGCATTTTATTTATTGTGCAAAATTCTAACTTCGAAAAAGGCTGATGTATTCTCAAATTTCAAAACGTTGGTAGAAGAGTCTAATTAGATAAACTATATAAATGTAAACAAATAAAAGAATAAACTAGATAAACGAAATATGACACAATGGGCTAATAAACTAAACGAAAGAACAGACAGAGTAAATTTAAATCAAACAAAAGAGCAAACGAACAAACGAACAAACAAACAAACGAACAAGCGAATAACGAAATAAATAATTGCTGAGGGAGATCTATATTAATTAATTTATGGGTATAATGTGGTCTTGAAAGTTCAAATATCTATTTATCTAACTTAAATTTATATGTAATAAAAACGATTAGAAAAGTCATCATATTGTAAGTTTTCAAAATCAACATTTAATGAATCATATTCTTGGATAAATAGTTGTGATTCTAACGGGAATGAAAATAACAGTGGTGTTGTTGGATTACTAGTGGTGACTTGGTTTAACGGTAAAGAATTGTTGATCAAGATTTCATGAACACTCATAAGAGATTCATTGAAGAGAGTTTCATAAACATCCGCATTCAGATTATTAAATGAAAAAAAAGCTGATTTGATGAAAGCTCGTCAATCGAATTTTCGGCTCATTGTTAGTATTTATCATGGGAGAATGAGTACCATCAATGGTTTTTGTTGAAGCGGTAATAACTGTACGACTATATTCAGTTGTTAAGTTGTATCATTCAAGAGGATGACCTAATGATTTGTGCCGCTTCTTGAGAAGGGAAATTATTACTTATTGAGCCAGACATGAGTGAAGAAGTAAATGCGAATTTCTTTTGTTCGCGAAAAACTCATTTCTTGATGTTTGAATCTTTTACATTTTTTGGCTTAAACTTATAATTAGGATATATGTTTTTGTGATTTTCATATGTTATTTTCTCTAATATTTTGAAGAAATACTTGTCTTCGTTTGATAACATTTGCCATTTATGTTGCATTCCTTTGCCATTTCTTTGACTTTTGGTTTAGTGTGTTGATCGAGTGAACGTAGATGCGCTTCATAATCTCTTCGAAAATTATCCAGCTGTTTTGTGAACGTGGTGGTTTCTCAAAATTAGCGCATTTTTTACGGCTGATTTTGCTAATTCATCAATTGAAAGAGTTAACTGGTAAGAATACTTTTGTAAAATTTGTATTTCAGTATCAGTCAAATATTTGTAGTTGCTGGGATTAGTCATTTATTAATGTTATAAGAAGATATGGATCTTATATTATACTCGTAAAAACTTATTTTTACAAAGAGAGAATGTGAATTTAGCTCTGCTATTTCATATATAGAAGTTTTAACAATTTATTATTAATTACAATTATTGAGTTGCATATAATAAAATTAAAAGACCCGTTTTAGGGCAATCAAATCCGAACTTTTCCAATACTGAAAATGGATTAGTTTATTAGCGAGAGATTCAAACAATTACTGTAACTTGTTTTTCTATTCTTATTATTGTATTTATTTTCAACATTTGTGACAATGAAAACAAACTCATCTGCACAAGAATGACTATTAAAGATTTAGTCTCATTAATATTTCAGAAGTGCCCTGAATTGGGAAAAGTTTTCAGTGTTTTTCATTGTAATTCAATTATATATTAATGTTAGGTTCTGTTTCTCTGCAGATTGTAGATCAAATAAATCATTATTGCATACATGTATGAGTAATGCAGTTGCTATATTAACAAGTTGCACTGACTACTGTGATCCTGTATTTATCAAAAAATATTTTTAGAAATGATGATTATGTGATGACGATAATGGTGCCGAAAAATCCTCCATCAAACCGTATGATTATATATGATTAATTTTCCACCTTACGACCATGATCTTATTTCATTTGATGCAATGTTAATCCTTGCATGAAAATTTCTATTGAAGTGTGTGTGAGAATATTCTTTTTGCGTTAGGTTTATTTCATTCTGAAAGATTTCAGGACGTTTTTGTATATAAAGCAGAAAAATCCATATCCACAAAGAAAAACCCGAGAATGCGCAGACATGCAAAGACCATTCTTTTTGATACACATCTCTGGATTTATATGGTATTAACCTGATTATTTTAATCAGTTCATTGTGTTTCCAGAAGTAAAGAAATTCCAAGATATGAGCATAAACATAGACACAATTTGCGGCCGAAACTAAAGGGATGATTGATGCAAGAAAGAAACAGATTGGCATGTTATATGTAAATAAATGCTTAATCTTTGTTTTTTTTAGTCACCATTGAACCAATAGTGGATGGACGAAGAAAACTACAGGAAAAATTCTGCAATTGGATTCGAACTTTATTTTATGTAAGAATGATCGTGTCACAATGTTGCAAAATTACGTTCAAATTAGCTTGGACGAAATTATTAATTAAAGAAAAGAAAACTTTATGAGAAAAATTCATGGCTAAACTCGTTTAATCATCGACTCACTCTCATGTAAACATAATTTTCTTATTATGCTCAAGGCGAGCTTGATATGTCAAATTTTGAGATTACAGCTATGTTTATTTCCCCGACTGATAAGAGGTTTGTATATGCATATCTTCCATTATAACAATTTTAATTATTTATTTTCCAATCCGACAATACAAAAGAAATAGAAATATTCATTTGAATAATTAGTTAAAATTAAAATTATTTTGCGCCCTGTTCTTTGTTTACCATATAAATGTTGATCGCGTGAAGTATCTTTGTATAACAATCCTAATTTGGATTTTTAGGGATATCAGATGCACAAATTTCTATTATTCGTGTTCCTTGGGATCATGAATTCTGTTAATAATATTTGTAATTCAAATTTAAATTATATATTTGTAATGATAAAAGTTATCCTCCGAACAATAAATGATGGCATTTTTATAAGCGCCATCCAGATTCGACAAAACAAAATACTGTTAGGTACTATTTATTTGATACACAAATAAACAAGTCTATTCCAAAAGTTCGGGCCACGTGGCTTTGTCAATCGATTCCGGCTACAAAATTTCGGGTCTACGTAATCATGAAAATCAAACCAGTATACATACAAGCGTTATAGAAGAAGATTGTATAAAAAATAGTTTATTGCTATTACCTGGACTTTTTGACTTAATGTTTGAACTTTGGCTTTTTCTTCGGTTAAGAGGTTATTAATCTTTTGCTGTTCGGCTTGGAGAGTGTTAATGGCACTTTGATTAGTTTGTTGAAAAATTCCCAAAAATAAGGAATAGTTTCTAATTTGAAATTTCCACCAACGGAAAAGACACCAAGCATTTCAAAAAGCGACTTTTCAGATGGTGTAGTTAGATGTTGGTCTCGTTCATTTATATCAATATTCACTTTGCTTCAAATTATTAGTCAAATATAATTATTTAATATTAAAAAAATTGAAATTTTCTGAGACAGTTTTCTATTAATCTCATTACATAATTCTGCACTTCAATATCATTGGTTGATATGCTCTCTACCAAACTTTATTTATGACTCAACTCATCTGAGGAGGACAAATACATAAGATATGAATTTCTAGTTGTCATCGTCCAAGTCATCCGTCGATATCTCCATTGTTCTACAGTCTATATTTCTTTCTCCATTGATATAAATTGATTCCCTTTCATTGTTGTGCAAACCTGACGTCAATTATTAGCTAAATTTTCATTGCAAATTCCCTTGTTTACTTATTCAAACAACAACCAATTTGATTCAATATAATCACGGTTTTCTTCTTCAGGATTTTTGTTAATATTTGTTGTTGATAGTGACTTCAATATCAATAGAATCATCAATTGGTAAAATAGTGGACGTTGTTTGTTTTGGTATGCTTAGTTTTGTTAAATCATTTTTATTACAGTCAAACCTCTCATAAGAACACTCTATATAACACCAACCTCTCAATAAGAGCAAGATATTGAGAACCAATGAATTAGAATGTATATTAAAAGCATCTCTATATAAGTACATACCTTGAAGAAAGTATTTGGACAAGATCAGCAACTGGAAAAATTAACAAACACATAAATATTGTGCTTATACCTATTTTAACAATCAAATAACCCTAAACCTACAGTTGATGATGTGATAAAAAACACAAAGATTAAGGTCAAACCATTTCAGCACCATGTTCTGTTAGACCTGAATTATTAAATAAATATGTAAAATATATACAGAACAAATTGATCTATAACTCAATAATGAAAAATAATCTAGAAATATAAATACATGTATTGCTATACGAATTTTTTTTAAAGTTAATTCCCTTAAATTTAATAAGCACAAAAGTTATCAATTTTATTCAAATAAGAATTACAACATTTCCAGCGAATTAATTGCATGAGAAAGATATCTGAGAGCTTGTAATGTGGAGATTCTAATAAGAAAAATGATTATCGTAATAAATCTAATCACTAATTGTGTCATAAATGGCATTTAGTTATTAATAGATGATATTGTCCGGACCGGATAGTGTATCTAAAAGAAGTAATAATAACAAAAAGTTTTAATACATGTACGTGTATATGTATGTATTCTTAAAAAGGAAGAGCCGAGAAAGACGATGAATGATGATGCAATTATTTTCTATATAAGAATGAGGATGGAATAAAAACTTGTTCGAAACATGTTTGTTTTTGTTTATTTCTACTATTTTAGTTAGTATGACATATAAAGAAAGAATATCGACATGGAGAACGGATTAAACAAATCAATCAGTAAAAAGTCAGTATATCAATCATTTACTCATTCATGTATAATTTCGAAAACAATATACTGTATTTCGATATAACGATAATGTTCATATAGTATTATTTTAGTACTTTATTTTATAAATATTTTCTGAGATATAAAAAATATTTAATAATAATGTTAGTATTATGCGAGGTACACATCTTTTTCGCACTGCATCATTACTGTAAAGATTTATAATTCAGAATATTACATGAAAATCATATTACGTTACTAAAAATAATGCAAATGGAGTGCCAAAATAAGCGTAATTATCATTATATTCACTACTTTTTATCCAGCGAATTTTTAGAAATACGTATTTACACAGATGGTAGATATGACTGAAGCACATATGAAGAATTCGTTCTACCAAGTACTAGAGAGAGGATATAACCTGAGTGTGACTATATTTGAAAAATGATCGACTCATCTTTAAGACATTGGAGAGAAAATTTTATCACAGCATCAGCATACTATGCAATCCAACTATCCCTATAATAAAGCGTGAAGTCTTGTCTTTTACCTGTAGACCTCACAAAAAAATTATTTTCTCAGTTTATTCTTTTCACAAATCAAATTAAATTTACTGCTTAGAATGTCTGTCATCGTTCATCAATTAGTGTAAATGATGACTGCTTGGACTATAATAAATTATATTACAGTCGCACCTCTCTATAAGAACACAGTCGGCCAGAAAATCCGGTTCTTATAGCGAGTTTGTTCTTTTATGTAGAGTGTTCTTATAGAGAGGTGTGACTGTATTTTTAAAAATGCCTTTACCAATTAACTCTTCCTATCGAAGAATTAACTAAACGAGCTGCAAAGAAATGTGGTGATTCGAAGAAACCACACAACCGCATATAACTGGATGATTTTTCGAAGAAATTATAAAGCTCGTTCATGTTTATTTAATCGACACGTTAAATATATAGAGAAAAGAATTCAGCTTAAAGTACCAAAATCTATCAATATCAAGGGAAGCCAAGCATTTCTTCGAAAAAATTATCTTATGGCATCACAAAATCATATAACCTAATTATGCACATGAGGAAAAAAAGTGCAAAAAATTCAAGCGTTAATTAAAAACCGAATTCGAGAACAAAAGAAATATGTATTTACATATCCAAACTCGAATAAGTAATTCATCTCCTCAAGTAGTAGTACACATTGTTAGATAACCGCTTTCAATAAACCAATTGATAATACTTAATATGAAAAAAATTATGATGCATTTCTAAAGCATCATTAAAGCTGTGTTTAAGAGCCCTCAATATAATCACAAGATTATTTGGTTCAATTATTCTGAAACACAAACACCGAGGTATTTGGTTCAATTACTTTGTTTTTCCCACTTCAAGTTGTCTTTTTTGGTGTTTCTATAGTGTTCAACTGTCCTGTTATGACAACTATTACAGGTATGGAGTTGTTTTACATTACCTTTTGCTCCAAGTTCCATAAACTCGCCAATAGAATTTGAACGTTAGTATCCAGAACAAGAATTTATCACTGGAATTGAATTTGAAGATTCCATAATATTTTTTGAATGATATGAAATAATGTAAATGAATATTATAACATCAATTGCAGAGGTTATAATTGCTGATAATTCTAAACATTGAAAACTTTAAAGCCATTTTAAGCTCAACAAAATTGGGTGAATATATATAAATCATTTAGTTGAATTTGTATATGTTATGATGGATGAACAATCGTAATGAATAATGATAACGATAATAATAAGACAATAACGATACAATAATGACTAATCACAACGTGCATGTAATTTTTACAATATTGAGTTACGATGATGTGTATTATAATTTAGTCTTTATATATATGCCACGCACGCCACATCACTCTCACGTGAACGTGAACGGTGGTTTTGACTTAAAACTGTAAAATCGTCAACTTGAAACCATTAATCTTCCTAATTATGACAGTCATATAGCAAAATAATAGTCAAGTATTAATTCGGTGACTCAGAGATTAGGTCTCTATCTGATTAAAAGAATAATGCTAGATAGTATTAATAAATTGATCAAAAATGGTAGTTCATAATGAAATTCCGAATACTGTACATTGATTGCAGTCCACATAATTCCATTTAACAAATGAATTTTAGTAAGTTTGTCTTTAATTGTCTCGAATAACCCCCTTGTTGAGACAGACTGTAGTTGCTTTAATTTGGTGTTATAGTTTGAAGATTGTCATTGGCCAGTGCGCATTTTATTCATTCCGCATATTCTACATTCTGTTTGTATTGTACATGTTGATACACTGTAGCATGGAATTGGACTACGTCATCATGTAGATCCCGATCCGCGTGATATTGGGCAAGGGATCAGATCTCGTGATTAGTGAAATTAGCAATGTACGGGGGTTAGTGAAGTTAGTATATACAAGCGAAACAAAGCCTCAGATTGATGTATTGTTGGGAAAGATGGTCTGATATGGAGTGCACCAATAAATCCCGAATATAGGAAGGTGTACCGACTAATGAATCAAAATAAAAAAAATGATTCATTAGTCTTGTGACGCGGGATCGCGATGAGAATTGTGGGAGGAAATTTGATTATAAATAAGGAGTAGAGAATAGAATTAACAATTACGAACAGAATTACAATAAAAAAATTAAGTTCAATAGAACTATAAAATCATTCGCCATTATAATAAAAGTTTTTATTAAATAAAATAAAGATTACTATTATAAACATTCCTTCGAATTATTATTGATCTATTCCCACACTCTCTATTAACAAAGTAGTCTATCTTAAGGCTACGAATACCAAATAACAAAAATATCGACAAATTGCCTTCTTAGGCAGGAACTAGTACCATCGCTTGGAGAACCCCATCAACTCGATAAGGGGTCGGAGTATTGATCGATAAAATTATAAAATTAATTAACGAAAAATTAATACAGTCTCACGGATAACTCGGCAGATCCCCCACATTTATTCCACCGGGTAACAATGTACATGTACATGTATATAGTTTGATCGTGGCTGCTGTGTTAACATAAAATATACATTAGCCAAAAAAAGTATATACTTATGTGAGTTATGGCATTGATGATAACTTGGAATCATTCAGAAATTTGACCAAAAACTCGTTCTATAATTATCGTCATTCTTATTAATCGTAGGGAAAAAATTGGTAAGTTTAAAAAGAATTATTTAGTGCCATTTTGCGAGAAAATATTATCGTTTACATCAAATGGCATCAAAGTTTTTATACATGACGTTAACGATTCGATTATTATGATTCGGTAAAGCTTTCTTGATTTATTTGGAAAACTATTACTAGAAAACAAAGAACAGAACAAAATGACTAAATAAAAAAATATAATAAAATAACAACGTAGACAGAACAAAACAAACTAAACGAAATTCGCACAAATTTAATAAGCTCGAAATCAAATTTACGTAATTACATTAATCACACGTGAAGTATCATTTAATGTTTTAATATAAGGAAAAAGAAGGTTGAATGATCAATTTAAATGAGTCGAATTCTATATTATATGTTAAGAAAAAAGTGAAGTTATCAGA